TACTTAAATAGCTGGGAATAATATAGTACGAACGAGTCGCACTCAACTGTATTAACCAGATTTTCTTTTACCTAAAATTATCGTCAGATAGTTTGTTGACTTGTAACTGTCATCCTAATAATATTTTTGTTTGGTATGGAGTGTCAATACTTGAATACGAGTTGCTGGTAATCTCAAGGAATGAAGTGGGTGGGAATGCATTCTCCTCATTCGATTATCCATTTAATATAACAGTGGATTCTATGGATAATATCTATGTCACTGGCATAAAAAAAAACATTGCATCCAAATTTTTCCCGTCGGTCAATCTGTTCTTAGTAGAATTGCTGGAAAGAAAAGTATGTGTGATAACAGTTCGAATTTACTCTATCATTCTCATGACTTGACACTTGATACTTTGCTGAATTTATATGTAACTGATCGTTTTAAACTTCCGAAATAAAGATTTATCTGCTTTTAATAGAAACTATTGAAATGAATACACATAATTCAATTTTCAAACGTTATAACAAAAATCTGTTCGATCAACTATTGTCATTGTCTTTTATATATTATTAAAAATTTGCAATAGAATACATGTAATGTTTAAAAAAAAAAGAAATTCGAAAACACTTTCCATACAATGCAAATCTGTTATTCTTTTACAATTCTTCTAAAAACAGAAAATATTAAATGTGTTTTAATAATCAAATTTTTTGTCCGTATAAGAATAAACTTCTTTTTCTTTTCTTATAATTGAATTTTATGTAAGTTTATACTATTTGAAGTAGCTATAACGAATAGATTTAAACCGAATGTTGAAGCAAAATGAGGAGCTGGTGTATATGTAGATGATGCTTTCAATTTTCCATCTTTTGTTATATGTATAAGACGAGATAAATCATGATAGACAGCAATCCATTCATCATAATTAAATATACAACAACGAATTTGAACTTTTTGATTATCTGCACTATCGAGTTGAAGAGACCATAAACAATCTAATATTTTTGAAGATCTTAATTCAACACGTACTGTTTTTTCTAATTGATTTTCAATAATTAAAAAAAGTTTTTCATCATTATAAATCATATCATGAATTCCTTCATCTTTTGAACATGTATCAGAAGGTTTCCATTGTTTAACAAATTCTATTGATGGTAACAGATTAAATTCTACAATTGATGAACCCCGTCTATATGTTGCTAGAAATAGAGATTTATCAGAACATGTACCACAACACCACTTATGTTTAGTTGTTATTTTTTGAATACTTTCGATAGACATTTTATCTTCATCAATAAGAAAAACATTCTTTTCATTAATTACAAAAAATCGTTCTAATGCTGATGACCAAAACATATCCCAAATTTCTCCAAAAGACCATAAAGTTTTTTTAATAATTGTAAATTCTCGATCTATTAAGCATAAATATGATTCTTGATAGATTAACAAATATTTTTCATTTGTTGCTAATGCAGCCCAATTTTTTTTCGAACAATTAATTGTTTTACATATTGGAGAAAGTAATGAAAGATCAAATTGATATGGATTTGATTCTTTAATTCGAATTAAATTATCATTAGTAATAAACGATTTAATTTGAATATCAAAAGATGTTTGTTTAATTTTATTGATTTCTTTTTCTAGAGTATTAATTTTATATTTTAAAGAATCAATATATTGACGTGTTACTTCTTGTTCAGAGATAAGTTTTGTTAATTTCAATCGTATTTGATCAATATATTCTCGTTGTTTATCAATTTTAATATTCATATATTGTGTAAGTTGATAACATTTTTCTTCAACGAATTTATCAATTTTTTTGTAACAATCTAAACGCCATTCTTCAAGTGTTTTACGAGCAATACCAATTATATTTTCAATCTCTATTGTATTAATTTGATTTGCTAAAATATTGATCTGATTAACAAAAGGATTTAATTGAGATATAAGTAAATTTTGATGTTCTTTCAAATGAATGTGACATATATTTTGCTGGCAACAATCACATATGGCATACGATGTATATTTGCATTTGGTAATAGTACATGTTGATGGCATATTTTTAAAATAAAATTTTTTTTTTCAAACTAAATGATATAAAACGAAAGAAAATAAAAATTGCTTATGGCATATTTATCATAGCTAAAATTGTTTGTTTAGAGAAGAAACGAACAGTTGCATGACTTTTTAAACGATTAGATGACATTTTGTGTGTATTTTAAATTGAGAAATAGTGATCGTCGTTACCATCAAATATTCACTTATACTTAGATTAAAAAGTATTTTAAAAGACAATTAAAATAGTCTTGTTCATTTTAATTTATCAAACTAAATAATAATTAAACAGAGTAAATTATGAGCAACTATTTACATTTTGTGCCAAGTAAAATTTTGCTGCCAAATCTTGATTCTAATTTTCTGTACTTTGTTTATACATAGATAGAAATACATGGGAACATGATGTGAATAATGTGATTTTACATTGAAATAAACATCAATAAACATAGAGTGCTTTGATAAGACATTCGCTATTTTTATCTTCGTACTAAAAGTTATCAATGATTCTTATACTTTAATTCAATCAATGTGATTACTTTGAGTAGTATTTATATGTCAATTTTTAAGCATATTTATTAGAGATGATATAGAAGCACTAGGCATCATGATTCAAATTCAGTTAATTTTGACCGAACGAAGATTACATCAAAGCTTCTATAGTAAAATCAAGTACGAAGAACGAGAATTTTTGGTTTAAAAATAGAACAAATCTTATTTTTCCAAGAATGAACTTATCTCATGCACAAATATGATGCTTGAAAAACATATGATCATGGCAGATACATGACAAAAATAACATTTTAGTGTATATAGAAAATATATTTGTATTTTGCTTACTCTTCGTTGATTGTATTACTAACTTATAATGAGATCTTATTATATAAATTCTAATGAATAAAATAATCTGAAGAATTTTATATTATGTCTTGTGAAAGATGTTCAAGATTTTAAATAAGTCGGATTCTAAACATGATAATTGAGAAGTTTTGTCAATAATTATTTATTGAGAAAAAAACTAAAAATAGATAAACAATATGCAAATTTTCTGCATATCTTTATTTTAATCAGTAAGAATCTACGTCGAAAAAATTTACTATGAGTAATTGTTAGTCTATTGTTGACCAAATTGAAGTGTTAAAACACATTGAATCTGTCATATGAGTTGACATTGTATAAGAAAAATGAGTTTTTGTCGAGCATGTTTGGTAGTAATCATTTTAAAAACTATGATAATAGTTTGATGCTCAAGAACAAAGGCAATACCTATATATTGTGTGTATGGGTATACCAGAGTTATCAATTGAGCATAAATAAAAAAAAGACTATTAGCGCAATTCCCGCGGGATCGAAATGTGAAGCAGGATGTAACTGTTGTTGTTAATCCTAGAAAGATTATTTTATTTTATCTATTTTTGGGACACAATTCTTTACCATTCTTGCATTTAATCTTCTAGAAATGCAATAAGGAAATAGTTCATATATGATAATTAGATGTTATTAATATATGACCTTTGATTGTATATCAGCAACGTCTATTCAGTCTGTAAGACAGACAGAGAAAGGATGCAAATATCTATCCAGAAATAGCCCTTCATCTTCGTATTCATTGAGTATCAACAATATTTTGTCCAGGTACTGCTCTTCATGATACCGTAAAACAAAACTATATATAAAGATAATAAAAGGAAGAAAAGCAATATACATACTAACGGTAACCATTACAAGCCTGTATATATATATCTGTAAGAGGTAGTTGACATATACAATCGTTAGGTATTATTATAGTTTGCGTATAGATTGATAATGGACATGAGAAAGAAAATATTCGTCGAATAATAACTCAAATATAAAAAAATAAAGATGATCGAAGATCACAATGCTGAACAATGTCAACAGTAAACACATCATGTCAAAGACACTGTCTGCAATAATACATCGCTACTGAAAAAAGTAGATAAACATGTATAATATATTGTTAGTGCAGATAGTATCGATTAAGAAGTATGTTTATTGCTTGAGTTATAGAACAAGAGTTTCTAACACGGAGTATTGGTAGAGTTTCGATATGAACGATATCTTGTGGCAATGACAATACAAATAATGGCACTGGTAAAGCTAATCAAAGAAAACTTCTAATATAAGAATGTTGTTCAATACATTGCACAACCACATTTCGTAATTAATATCATGAAAAACTAGATCTAAAAGCATCTTAAGGACCTTCAGTTATTTGTCATTAGTCGTAGGATTTCAACTAAAAATTTACTTTAAAGATGTTTCTTCTGAACTGAACACACGATATTATATTATATACTCATCAGATTGTCCTATATAGAAAATCTTTTCAACTCAAATGGTTATTTAGTTTTTTTTATTTTCAATTTTTTTTTATTGAAAATACAGTTTGTGATTCTTGAAAACATAAAACTTTAATCAAAAACAATAAACAAACTATAGAATAAATATCATAAACTAATCGTCAATATTTTACAGTTAACGATATTCTTCAATGATGAATATAAAAAATTGTTGTACTTACATTACAAATATCATTACCAGCAAAGCTATTTACGACCATCATAAAGTATGAATAATAATCGCTTTTGACATATCCTGTATAATCATATTTTAGATGCCATTACTTTTTCTTTTTTTTTATTCGATAGGTTACATATATATTGAAGAATATCAGACAGTGTTTTTTTTTTGTTTCTTAATCTATTTCTCGGACGAAACGAATAAAAAACTTTTGATTAACTTGACGCTTCATAGTTGGACATAAAAAATATACCTGGTTGACAAGAAAATGAGACCAGAGCGAGAAAGAGAGAGAGACAGAAAATAATCCATCTCAATATATATGTACATTTTGGCACAATAGCCATTAGCAGCAAAATGAAATATAAATCGTCGGTGTTATTATTGATTATTCATTATACTTTTTTTTATAACTATAGATGAAGTTACATTGGTTCCTATTCTCAGCTATTTATCTATTTGGCCTTTGTAAACCAACTCAAGGTTTATTTGATGGTCTATCTCTTCAAGATTATATTGATAATTTCGTTGATGCTGCTAAATTTAAATTAAATGGTATGTTAAGTCTTAATGATTCAACTGTTAGTCGTATATGGTCTTATTTTAAATCAAAATATGGTCGTGCTTATGCATCATTTGGTTAGTTTAAAATGAATAGATTTTTTTTTTCAAAATGTTTTATTGTTGTTATAGATGAAGAAAAGCAACGTTTTCGTATATTTCAAGATCATCTTAAATATGTTCTTGAATCAAATCTAGAAAAATTACGAACATTTCAATTAGAATTAAATGAATTTGCTGATTGGACAATAGAAGAATTTAATGCATTAAAAAAGGGTCTTATTCCATCAACTAATTTACGACGACATGTTTTTTATGATGATAGTAATGATGAAGATTCAGTTCGTCGTAGTTTAAATAAACTTTATCAACATCATAATTATTTACAACGATTAAAACGAAGTATGATTTATCGAAAACATAATGAAAAATATAATAACAGACGTGGATTTACTGATTGGCTTTGGAATTTAATCACTCCTGATACAAATAATAATAATAATGTTAGTCCTCAATCAACTAGTTCATTTGATTGGCGTAATAAAAATGTTGTTGGTAGTGTTAAAGATCAACTTAAATGTGGATGTTGTTATGCATTTGCTACTGCATCCGTATTAGAATCACTTTATGCTATAAAAACAAATTCAAAAAATGTTATTGAATTAAGTCCACAACAAATAACTGATTGTTCAAGTAATGGTAATATAGGTTGTGATGGTGGAAATTTTCCACCAAGTATTCGTTATATATTAGGACAAGGTAGTAAATTAGCTACACTTGCATCTTATCCATATGCAGGAAAAAAACAAACATGTAAAACAAGTGGAATTAATGAAGTAAATCTTGGTAATATTCAATACGGAGCGATTCCAGAAGGTAATGAAAAAACGATGGCTGCAGCACTCGTTAATTATGGACCTTTATTTATTGGTCTTGATGCAGATTCAAAATTATTTATGTTTTATAAATCTGGTGTACTTAATATAAATAATTGTCCAACTCGTCGACAAGATATGGATCATGCTATGGTTGTTGTTGGCTATGGTTATGATAGTGCACTTCAAATGCCTTATTGGATAATAAAAAACTCTTGGGCACAAAAATGGGGTGAAAATGGCTATCTTCGTTTAGCAAAAGATAAAGGAAATATGTGTGGTATTGCTTCAATGGCTTATTATGCAAAATTAACTTAAATGTTATTTATCGTGTGCACATTTGTATCTTTTTTTTTTCTTTCAAGAGAAAAAAGCTTTGAATAGTCACAAAAGAAAAAAAGTAGACGCTTTGTTTTTGTATATGTTTGAATACGATGAAATAACCTGTGAATAAGAAGAAAAAAGAAAAACAAAATTGTTGTATCGTTTACACACGAATTTTAAATAAAAATGCCATAAACAAATCCATATAGATAATAATTAACAATAGTTTTATTTTTATGATGATGGGTTGTTTTGATCTGAACTATTATTAGGATCTATGAAAAGAAAATATATATATATATATACAATTTTTTAATAACTTTATTCAACATACTTGTGGATCCATTGGAATTATTGTCTGATCCTGAATCATTATTTCCATCAGGTTGTGTTCGATTACCCATACTACGTCGAATAGATTCAATGAGATCAGGATTATTGGCTGATAATTCTGAAGCCATACGTTGACCTCTGAAGACAAAAATAAAAATAGATTCAATTACAAGATTTCTTTGTTGTGTTCTATCATACGTTTGTAATAGAGTTTGTAAACCAACTTCACCACCTTCTTGTGCGCCTAAATTTGTTACTAAATTGGCCATTCTATAAAAAAAAAAGTCCAAATGATATTCAAAATATTTCAATTTAAATAAAACAATTTCTTACAATCCTTGAACTTGAGGATTTTGAACAAATTGCATTGCCTATAAATCAAGAAAAAAATAAATAAATCGAATATAATTATTTCTACAAAAAAAACAAACAAACCATATTCATCAATGATGGATTATTAAAAAATGACATCATATCAGGTCCACCAGCGGGACTCGCACCACCAGCACCACCCATACCACCTAATAATGGACCAAACATTGATTGAAGATTAGGACCCTAAATAAAAGAAAAATTATATATACAACTTATAATCAAGATTTAATTTTCAACGTACACCAGCTGCACCAGCAGCAGCACCACCTGATGCGCCATTTAATCGATCCTCACAAATTCTAATTGATTGTTTATAATTCTCATTATTAGGCTCTAATGCATGAGCTTTTTTATAAGCATCAAGTGCTTCATGTACTTTATCTAGTGAAAGATAAATAACACTAAAATAAAAATTCTTATAAATTAATTTTCTAATTAAAAATAAAAAGAATTTTGATATACCCAAGTCGTCCATAGGCTTTACTATAATTAGAATCAATTTCAATTGAACGAAAACAATCGCTTAATGCTTGATCATTATTATTTAATTTATTGTGTGCAGCAGCACTACAAGAGGAAGAAAAGACAAATTTATTATATATTAATAATTATTTGAAAATAACTGACCGATTACAATAATAAATGGCATTATTACCATCAATTTTAATAGCCGCATTATATGCTTCTAATGCTTCTCGATATTTTTCTTGTTTAACAAATTCATTTCCATCATTTTTTAATTTATCTGCTTGTTGTCGCATGTCATCTGTTAATGGTACACTCATTGACTTTAACGAAGAAAAAAAAACAAAAACAACAAAGATTATATCCAAAAAATAATTCGATGTACAATAAAAGATTTTTTTACCGGTTGTTCACTACCGCTGATCCATGATGAAAACGTTGCAGCATGAGTTGTTGTTGTTGTTATCGTTGGAGTATCAGATACAAGTGATAATAGATCTATAGCTGGACCATATGTTGATTCATTTTGTATATTTGCAAGTGATAAATCATATGCTGTTTCAAGACATTGAACAGCAACTAAAATAAATAATAGAAATATTCAAAATATAAATTAAATCTGTTTCTTTTTCTGTATAATTTATATCGATAATATTACCTTCCATACTTTCACGTCGTTCAGCATTGTCAATCTCAGCTTGTATTTCTCCATCGAGAAATTTTAAAATTGCATAGATTAAACGTTGTTTTGCTATTTGTTGTTGTTGGGACATATCTAGAAATAGATAAAATCATTGTTTTCTTTATTTTGTACATTATTAGTTAAACCAAATGAATATGAAATACTTCAAATAAACGAAAAACTAACCCACTTACTTAGTATGTGTCACTAGATGAGATCGAGTGAAATAACCAATGAACTTCAAAAATAAAAATAGATGTCACTCAAATCTAGTAGATAGTTAGAAAAATTGAACTTCAGAAAATTTATTGACGTTATGAATAGTTGTAGTTCACGAATAATATAAAATATGACTTCGAAATTATTATAGAAATTTTAAAAAAATACAACTGATGAAAGTTACAGTTATTCAATGATTGGAATTAAAGACAAATTATATTTCTTTTCGTTTAACAATTTATATGCTTATATTTTATTAATTAATATTTGAATAAATAATGTTTAGATATTCTGTATATTTTAGCAATGAACTATACTATGATTTACAAAGCAGATATTTATTTGTGTGTAAAGTATACTCAGGAGAGTCAATGGTATTATTTTTTTCGTTATTCTTTATTGACTTTAGTCATAAATACATAAATTAATATTTATTAAAAGTAGTTTCCAGGTCAATGATTTCAGTACCCTGATCTGTGGATTTCCGGCGGGAGCACGCAGGAAAGACGTCGTTTCCGGCTGAAAAAATGTATGAACTGGAAAGCAGGAGTCCGGTTATCATATTCCGTTGCCGACTCTGTTTGGTTCCGACGGGAACCTGCTCTATCTCATTGATCTGCACTGGACATAATGAAATGATTCAAAGAAAGCCAATATTTATTGCTAGAGAAAACGAATCAATTAACTGAATAATCAAGTGCATCAACAACTGATCTCTTTGTGTTGTTCATTGAGCCTTGTCAAAACTAGGAAACCAACATCATAATTAAAATCAGCTGAATTTCTCTCCACGCTTGTCGTACTGGCATATGTTGAATTAGTCGAATTCTATAGGGAATAGTACTATTGTAATAAGGGTAGTATGAAAATCCAATTATTATTAGCATGCGAAGTTTTTCTCGTTGCTATTATAGGACAGAATGTTTGACAGTAAAAATTACATGATTAGATTGTGAATTAACGGTAGAAACTAAACAAAAGTAATATGATATTCCCACTTGTCGAAAAGGAACTAAACCTGAAATTATTTGATCAAGGTTCAGTCAACACGCTATTATGATTTGATATTGTTCTATATGTCAGACTAGACAACATAACATTTATCATTTTTTTTCTCTTTTGTATCGGTCAAAGATCTGAAAGTTACGTATTCGTTTATTATACGTGTCTGATGTGATTACTCTTGAACGAAAAATATCAATAATAACAAAATCCGCAGAGTCTACTAATAAAATTTTTCAAAGAAGGTGTATAAAAAGAATTTATATCAACATATTTTATTTTGATTGTTATTCTATCGATTGAGAAGAAGATATCATGTGGATTTTGTTAAAAAAATCTCACTATATGTAATATGATATTCTTCAAATCGGATATTATTATTCAGCGAACCTTCATATGTTATACATGAATGACTTGTCTTTGTTATTGAACGGATTCTTTTTCCTGTAACGTATCTAACAGGAAAAAATAATGATCATATGTGTTTCATCTGTCTTTTTCTTCTTGAAAGGCCATCAAATGTAATCATTAGACGTTGTCTATATCCATGCATGGAAAGTTTTCAATAATCATCATTGTGATAATATGACCTACCGTTGCTAATAGATATTTATGGAAAATATCGATGATCTATTTTTCATCTTTCATGAGCATGATTAATGAAGCCTGATGGACCATTAATTTTCTTTGCAACAAATGAAAAAAGGTGTGAATAATTTTTTTTCTACATATTACGACATACAATGAAACAGTAAATTAAATCATTGCGCAATAAATAATATTCAATTTTCTTTAACCTTGAAAAACTGTGACTTTTTTTTTTACATTATTAAATAAATTTATTCATTTTTCTTTTGTTTAAACTGGAATATTAATGTTAGTTTTGTTTTTCAAATGTTATCTGCATCTATAGTCAATATTTAAAAATATATAAACTCATTTCGAAATTGTTTATTTTTATTATGAAAAGATTTGTATCCCTTATTTAAATAATATAATGTCATGAATCTTTTTTTAGTTTAGTGGAGGTGTTACTTCAATCTCTTCCTTTTCCTTCGATTGACTAGCTTATCACAATGTTTAAGCTGTGCATGTACATGCACTTCTATCTTATTTACTGTCAAGCTGGACATACACATGCACACAGCTCAAACACAATTGAATGACCTTTGAAGGATATATGACATAATAGGCAAAAAAAAAGAAGAGGAAGGAGAAAGAGTATTCAAATAAAGAAGCCATATGAATTTAGAAGGTTATTGGTTACATCTTACAATAATGATCCCTCGTTTTACATTAACAAAAAAAACAACAACAGTATAATGAATGTTGAGTATGTGAACTTTAAGGAATGTGTTGTTAAAATAAGAATGTATTCGAAACAGGTGAGTCAAAACTATTTTTTTTTGGTAAAAAAAAACCAATAAGAAAACTTTTCTTTTACTGTAAGTATCATCAACGTCAAAGATTATGGCATTACGAATAAACCATGTTACTCATAGTCATTTTTGTTGGTTTTTATGCAAGTACTGCTGAACTTGTGTCTTCTATTCCATGTGAATATATAACAGATGAAAAACTTTTTTGTCGACAAACATCTTTTATTGATAGTAATATTCCATTAAATAATAAATCAATTTACTCTCATATAAAACATATTGAATGGATTGAATCGGGTACATATATTTTATCAAATAATCTTTTTCATTTATTTTCTAATCTTAAAAATGTTTCATTACGTTCAAATACAATAACATCTTTATCTATTTTACCATTTTGGCATCATTTAAAACATATTTATCATCTTGATTTATCACAAAATCGTTTAATATCAATAAATAATCGTGATTTTCAATTGTTTCATAATTTAATATCATTAAATATTTCATTTAATTTTCTTACAACAATTGAACCTATTTGGTTATTAATACCATTACAAATTATTGATTTATCACACAATGGTATTAATACAATAGGTTATATGAAAATTCACAATGGTACATCAGAATTAAACTCATGTTCATTAGAACAAATTTATATAAATGATAATCGTGGTCTTTTATCATTTGCACAATTACAAACAACTATAATGAATGTTTGTCCATTTATTGATCGATTTCAATTAATGAATAATCATTGGCATTGTGCTTGTAGTGATCTTGTCAATTCACTTAAACATTATCGAGCATTAATTCTCATGGACGAACTTTCTCAAACATTAACTGGTCCATGTGAAACACCTTTACCATTTCGTAATATTGATATACAAAAACTGAATGAAGAATTAGTATGTAATCATTTCGCACTATTTGATTCAATAGTTAATGATGAACAATCACAATCATCATCACTCTTATCTTTTTCTCGACAAATCATTTGTCTATTTTTAATTGGTTGTATCATTGGACTTATTATTGGTTTATGTCTACATTATTGTGCTCGTCGTTGTCATGATTTACTTTTTTATATACTATTTAAATGTAATAGACAAAAAGTCGTACATGAAAGGCATCCAAATGAATCTATGCAAACGGCTGATACTAATCATAATCAAAATCATTTTATTTATTATCCGACAATTGAATCTGATTCATTGCCAACTTATTCTCAAGTTATGAACGATATTTTTTATTTAGACATTATCAATCGACAGCAACAAAATGAACTCGATGGTGAATGTTAAAAATATGAAAAAGAACAAAAAAGACTAACTACGAAGACAAGTATCCTGTTAAATAGAGGAGAAATTCTCCTTTTTTCTCCTGCTTTTACCTAAATAAAACAATATGTTTTTGCTTATTCACCTAAAACACAGACAAACTTGTATTTCGAATATCATTACAAAAAAAAGTGAAATATTAAAATTTTTTTAGATGCTTTGTTTTCTCCTAGTTCTATAGCAATAGTCTTAATATTTAATAAAAAAGAAAAGGATCATTGATAATTTATAGAAAAAAAGCCTGTTATTAGTTGATATAAAATCAAAACGATCGTTTTAAAGTTTTGACTTGACCATTTGATTAAGTAATTTTTCTAATTTAAGTGCTGTTGATAAATCACCTGCAAAAAGAAGAACAAAACAAATTAATGAATTGAAAAAACAAAACATCAGAGATGAAAGAATAAATTTTACCTTGAATTTTTAATTTTCCACCCATAAATGCTGCTGTTGGTTTTAATTTTCCAGCAAACATTAATTGAAAATCACTTTTCAACATTTTAAATGTACATTGTGCTTTACCAGATGGTGGTTCACCTTGACCGACACTACCATTATCATTTTTCATATCTAAATACCACTTGTCTCCTAAAAACAAAAAAAAATTATTTTCTGTGTTTTTTTTTCAATTTTGTAAATTAATCATTTAAAAAATTTTATACCTTGTAAATCGAATGCATAAACACTATTCATTTGTTTTAGAAGTTCCGGTGTTAATAATGTTTTAAGTTTATCAAATATTTGTTCAACACCTGATGATTCACTTTTAGTTCCTTCAGATTGTTGTTTAGCTTTTGATGATTCTCGATGTTGTAATTGCGAAAGATTTTCATCAAGAAAAAAATCAAGCATAAAGTCAGTTGTACCAGGTACAACAGCATATTGATCGAAATCTGTTACACCTTGTTGACGAAGTAATGCTTCATCAACAAAAAAATTGCCACTACATGCTCGACTATCTTGTGTTATGATTGCATATGCTGCATCAGCCATGATTTCTGGCCGTCGGCATTTTTTTCGATAATCTTCACCAGCAATTAAATTTATTGCATCAGTATCAATAGCTATTGAATTAATAAAAAAAAAAGGAATCAAAAGCGAACAAAACAAAATTTCATACCAGTTCTTGGCCATAATGCATTTACAGCAATGCCAAATTCACGTAATTCAGCTGCAAGACCTAATGCATATAAAGACATATTGTATTTAGCAACTGTATAAGCAACATGTCCTTTAAACCAAAATGGATTCAATGATAATGGCGGAGAATTCATAAGAATATGAGGATTTGAGGATTTTTTTAAATATGGAAGAGCCACTTTGGAACTAAAATTAATAAAAAAAATGATGTAGAGATATTTATGCGGAGAAAGTGGATGGCAAGTTTAATATCTCGAAAAACTGTCACAAAATGCTCATCTATTTATAGGAGTGTCTTTTTATCAAATAATAATAAAAAAGTTTGACTCGAAAAACGAACTCGGCAGTTTTATGTGCTCTGTCAAGCATAAAAAAAAGCAATTGGCTACAATGAGGTTCCCTCGAGAATTCTGAAAAAGCATAAACAAAACTTTTTCAGAAAAAAAAAACATTTTTCAAGTAGGCGGTAGCGAAAATCATCAAAATCTCTGATAAGAAAAAGACAAGATGCTAAATAAAAATTCATTTCGTTTGTGGAAGATCGAACCTAAGGCTATTATCTCAACTTCGATTTTTCTGACGAAAATTGACTTTTTCTAGGAAACTTACTACTTTTCAAAAACTACTTTTTTTTAAACTGATAAATCATCCCGATGTTCTCATCACAACTGAAACAGAAAAGTAATGATTACATACCAAAGAAAAGTTCCACGTGCATTTATTGAATGCATTAAATCATAACGTTTCATTGGTGTTGATGGTGTATCCGTTAATGAAATAGCTGACGCATTATTAATTAAAATATCAATACCACCAAATTTTTGAGCAGCTTCTTCAAATGCTTTAATAACTTGTTGTTCATCACGTACATCAACAACACATGGTAAACATTTTCCACCAGCTTTTTCAACTAAATAACAAAAAAAACATTTACAATGAAGAAAAAATATTTCGCTTTTCATAAAAACAGAAAAAATTACTTTCTTCAGCAGCTGTATAAATTGTTCCTGGTAATTTTGGATGAGGTTCAGTTGTTTTAGCAGCAACAACAATATTAGCATTATCTTTTGCACATCGTAATGCAATTTGTTTGCCAATACCGCGTGATGCTCCTGTTATAAAAATTGTTTTGCCTGCTAACGATCTTTATAAATACAAGAAAATTTTTTGTCTTTACTTAAAAATTATTTAACTTACGGCATGTGTTTTCAAAAATATCAAATTTTTAAAGATTAGAAAATCTTATCTGAAGAGAAAAAAAAGAGAGATTTATAATAAACGCTCAAAAAATTTTATATAGATTGATTTAGCTTCGGATGTGGTGGGAATAAAATGACCACCATCATGTCGAAATATTTCAGCATTTTTATAATATTCATTTGCTAAATTTTCTGACTTAAGACACGGTATAACACGATCACTTAGTCCAATAACATGTAAACTAGGTAAATCAATATGAAGATTATTATACATTGATTGATGCTGTTCTTGACCACTTTTAAAACTAGCAACTAATATAACAAATCGAAAAGGATATTTTGTTGAAGCATAACGAGCAAGAAGTAATGTAGCAAAAGCAGCACCTTGTGAAAATGCTAATAAACCATCGAAAGGTATTTGTTGTTCATTGATATATTTCATGACATATTCTAATGATTGTTCAAAACCTTGATCACATGATGTTGTTGCTAATGGATCATAAGATTCATCACATGAAGAAAACCACCAACCTTTAAGCAGTAAAATAAAATTAAACTTATTTATATGTAGAATTAAGTCTTAGTTTAAATGAAATTTATAGGATAAAAAATTTTCTTTAGATAAACAAGTAGAGAGTAACTAAAATGTAAATTGTCATATTTGGACATATAACAGACATTAAGAATAATATTGAATTACTTTCGAATATTTAATGTTTAACACAAAACGTAATCTTACAGTGTGAGCTATAAATAGCAATACAATAAAAAATGACATACCTCCTTGTCAGTCCAATAAAATAGCCTGATTTGTTTTTTGGTTACCGGTAGAAGTTTATTCAAAGGTTCTTTTTTTCATAAGGATAAGGTAAGCAAATACAACTATTATGTATTATGTTTGATATCAAGAAAGCAATTTTAGCTGTTATCAAGTAAGAAAAATACATGTGTGATGTTTCATAGATAATTTTTAGTTGTCGTCTAAGAGAATAAGAAAAAAGAAATAAAAACGAGCTTGATATATAAAGGGTGTCCCATAAATTCTGGACCTCAATGAAAGCTGCTTTATGGATAGACAAACAGTTATTCCTCTCCAACTGTATGTATCTATATGAGCTTTAAGTATTTAGGACGATGATTCTAAATGGCAGAGATGCAGAATCTACCCGTGTGCGCGTACGGCCATGTGGGGAAAATTTTCGATTCACGAGAGAATCTTGGGGAAATAGCTGAGGGAAGACACCATCGTGCGGGGAAATTTTTTAAAATCACGGCACATTCTGCACCTCTGCTAAATGGCATATTATTTGTCTGATATTATTTCTTTTAATAATAGTGATAGAAACAGAAGAAAGGTGATAATTAAGATATGGGTACAAAGGAAAACCACACCCACATGCATACTCAAAATAGATAATGTCATCGGATAATATGACATTCAAAAAAAAATATTCCTAACTACTCGAAGCTCATGTAAAGACAGTTGGATACGGATAACTCTTTATTTATATATAAACAAATTTTCAGAACTATTTAGTTTAAAAATCAACACTTAGAAAATTTCGAATTTTCAAGACATGAAGCACTGGTTTTTGCCAGGAAGTTGGTGTTCAGTGGGCTGAAATAATGTGTTTCACTTATAGAGCACGAATTTCAGCTTCTAAATTGAGTACTAGTTTTGAAAGCTTGCTCTGTGTACATCAATATCGTTCTTTTTTTACTCTTACTATTATTCAGTTAAATGACAATGGAAAATTATCTATGAAACACTTCATATATATTCTTCGCACTCGGTAATAGATGAAATTAAAAATAAACTTATTTGATTTTCCTTTCCAATTCGTATGTAAACTTATTACCTAGTATACCATTGAGACTTTCGGAATGATTTGTCAAAGTTTATGGGCGTCATTTATAAGAGCTAACAGAAAAACACAAGATTTTTAATCATCATTCTGATTAAGAAAATCTTCTATTGACATCTAAGAAAATGATGGGTGGTGAAATTGATTTTTTTCTTTCTATCTAAGCTTTGAAACGAACTATTATAATCTATCACAATACCCCTTTCATTTGATCGATTTGATGCTGTCGCACTAGTATCTTGTTCATTTGTATTATCTTGTACTGGAATAATATGTGGTGCATCAATATAAACGAATTCAGCCACATGTTTTTTTAATAATTTTCTAAATGATCCTGTTTTTTCTCGAAATATATTTCCATTTTGTCGATAACCATGTAAACATAATATACGTAATAGTGTCATACTAAAATAAGACACAACTGAATAATAAAATAAACAATTATATTTTAGAAGATCTTTTTATTTTTATTTTAAATAAAACTTATAGGAATTTTTGTAATATCTATCTATCTATGATAAAGACGAATAATCGTCATACATAGATGAGGTTATGATGAGAACAAAAAAAAAACAACAACAAATATGAAGTGTCCCTCTTCCTCTTTTTTTTTCTTTTATTTATATAAGTAGATTGATATGGATAAAATATTGTAATCTTTTTTTTTCTAAACAGATTTAATAACACGCATTCGAAGTTGATTAAATTTTTCTCGTAATTCTGTTGCATCGAAACTAAAAAATTCAATATATAAAATACA